ATGAGTTTTCCAAGCAATATATGAACAGAACCATTTTTTCCAGCACACCTTAATGGTCTTACTCCCAAACCATGTCCTTGTTACTTGGTTTCCTAAATGTCCAGGTGCTGGAGCATTCCCTGTGGAGTGGGGTGTCACATCTCTAGCTGTTTCCTGTTTTATAAAATGCCAGCACTCCTTGCATACCAATGCAATATCCTCAGTGATGTTATTGGCCTAAATGTTTCTCAGGGACAAGTGGCTTGATTAGAACCCTAAGGTGACACAATGTGATGTTTGACAAGCAGGAAGTTGGAAGCCCTGAGGCATCCCACTGGGGAAGGGAGCATTATCTGAAGAAACTGGGAATTGGAGATTACAGGCCACTCACAACAAGAACACAAGAGCCTAAAAAAGATGGAAGGGCTGAGGACAAAGTTCCTTTCTGTATCTGTTCCTAGTCAGATTGATGATTGCCAAACTGATGGAGTCCACACTTTCCAGTGCCAAAGATGAGGAATGATTTGGGCTAGGACTCACCTAAAGTGTTTGTTCAGATACAGGCATCAGCTTCTCGGGACCACTGACGTGTGGCATGGTGACATTGCTGCCTGCCAACTTTAGTTCCATCCAACCAGTTCTACATATCAAAGAATTTGCCACTTGTAATGAAACCAGTTCTTGAAACCACTCAGAAGACCTGTGATAGGGATCACTACCTCGGTTAATTTGCTACCAAATAAGGAATAGGATACCAAGATCATCAAGAGAGAAAAACCAGCTGTTAGGGTTTGGAAAAATGCAAGCTCTTCATTTTCCTTTTGTTCTTGTGTTTCTGACTAAACTAGGATGATTCTTGTTTTCTAATTTGATGTGAGTTGAATTTTAAAGGATTTTAATTTGTTTATTGTGTTTCTGTCAGGGAGTGGCTCTCTGCATGGTCAGCTTCTGATCAGTGTGCTTTGATGGCATTGAACAATACCCTCGGCAGCTTGCTAGGGTTGTGGTTGGCCTGGCTTATACCACATAGCCACTGACAGTAACGGGCACCTCCAGGGCCAGATGCATAAATTCAGGGGCTCAGTACAAAGTTAAAACACATAACATCTAGTCTAAGAATTGAAGGTTTTCAAGGGAGCAATGCATTGAAGTAAGAGTGGGCCCATTCTGAATATAGGGCCCTGGGTGACTGCATAGGTCACACTCTCATGATACCATGCAGTCATCTCAGGGAGGAGACAAACACATCCTTTATCACTATTGACTTAATAACTTGACATGACAGAGACTTGAAGTTTACCCTGCGGGGCTAGATAAACTCTTTAGTCTAGAAAGCTGTCTTCAACAAAATCTGTGGATCGAGAAGGAAAGGTCTTTAGGAGCCGCAGCTTCTCTGACACTTTCAGGGTTAACAAGATAATGTAAATTGCTTTCTGATTATACTCCTTGGGATCTATGGGGATCTGTCCTCAAGAAAGCTTTTCTTTTGTGGCTTCATGTAGGTTATGCATAATGCCTATGGGTTCTGGTGTTGGGACTGTCTTCAATTCCTGGGGTGATTAGGGCAAGCGAAGAGTGGCTGGGAGCCGAGAGCCCTGTGGAGCCTGTTAAAGGAGGCCCTTGGGGACATGATTTCTGGATTAGCTGGTTTGCATACATGGAAGGCACTCTTAGAGGTAGGCAATTTACTATCTCTAGAAACTAGTTATTCTAGGAGAATCAGTCCCTTAAGGGTTAGCAAGGCTTCAGATGTTAAAGTGTTAGACATAAAAGCCACACCTAATACAGTGACCTGGAAGACCTGGGCTGGCCTGAGACTCAGGTGTGAAGAGCCATCTCCTGGGACCAGAGTCTCCTTGGTTAAAGGGTATGAAATATCCTTGAAGAATGACCACAAAGAGATCGTACAAAGTCACACGTGCCCAGCACATGGAGACAGCCCACTCTTCAGAGACGAATGAATGAAACTTGACACAGAAAGCCAGTGTGACAGTAATTGTAAGTCATCATTAGTATGCTCCTTGGTAATTAGGCAGAGATGATGAGCCATTTTTAAAAGTTTCAAATGTATATTACTTTGATTTTTTTCTCTTCATTTTTTTAGTTTTCTAATGTTAAGAAGCAGAATTTGTACCAGTGAGACCCTCTATCTCGGCCCCTTCTTCCCAGCCCAGCAGACACACAAATGAGAACCCAGAGGAGGCTCCCTGGAGAGTTGAGTGTTTCCTCTTCCTTGCTGCACACAGTGGGCTTGGGTTCCTCTGGCTCCATGCCAGGGTCTCATCTTACCAGTGCCCTCCCCCGGCCTACCTGATCTTGGGTGATTCTTGCGCTGGACTTCCAACTGCTTATTTCTGCACAGACTCCGAGTTGGAGGGAGAAGCCCAGTATGCTGAGAAGGTATATGGAGGGTGAGTGCTGAGAAATGGGCATGGATAGAGGAGCACTGGTGGGTGGACTTGCCAACCAGCCAGGTCAAGTCTGTAGTTATAAAGTTTCAAACAGTAGGGCGGCAGTCCAGAGGCTCACAACAAACAAGTCTCCATCAGCCCACAGGAGGATCCCTCAGGCTCTCAAGGGACAGGAGAATGACAGGTGGGAGGAGGAGACCAGGAGACTATGGAGACAAATTGTTTTTAGTCTCTGGGCAATGTCAGGCTGAGTGATTGAACCTTCACAGCCCAGACCCTGTTAAGTCCTCACAAAGACTGATTAAAAAAAAAAAAATTGGGAGCAAACACATCCCATGTCTTTCACTTTTGTCTCCAACTGTAAATGAATCCATCCTCCAGCAGCCATTGTATTTGAAATTTTCTCCCTCTTCATATTCTTTCCTCTTCCAACAGTCCATAAGCCAGAAAGGTTGCTGTGGCTCCAACAGACCCACTGTTAACCAAACTTCCACACAGGGTTTCTTGTGAGCTGGTCTTGGGCTGTGCTGGTTGCCACATGGCTTGGGCTGAGCTCTTGTCTCCCCATTTGCTGACCTTGGCCTCTGCTCAGCCCTTGTGTTTGTGTAAAGGTAGATGATGACAGTCACTTGGAGTCAGTGGAGGTGACACCATGATTTGACTCAGAGGTTCAACTACAGAGACAACATGTTTGTCTTCACCCCCTTCTCCTGGGGTGGACACCTCCCTGCTACCAAGGATCCCAGAACCCCAACACTCAGCCAATCTGAGTAGACTCCCCCCACCAAAGCCTAGTGCCCATTGCTCATCCAGAGGGAGCTACACTTCCTGGGAGCCCTGTCAATATCTTGAAGCTGCTTTGTGCTCTTAAGAAAAGGAAAGATGACATTCCAGTGTCCTTGCTAGGACAGAGAAAGAAAAGGAAAAGACAAGAACATTTGCTCTTCCCCGGGTGTCTCTCCACACTTGCATTCTAAATGGTGCTATTATTTTCCTTGCTCCTCCACCTTTAACTCTCAATGCAAATACTCCTGAATAGATGTTCAGGGCCAAAGTCAAAGCCACTTCGTTCCACACATATATTCCAACATCTTGCTACCTGTTCCCTGATATTTAAATTCATTACACAAGAGAAATGATTGTTCTGTTCAGTCTTCAGCTGTTATTGGGAGCTCTCTGATAGGGAGAGAGAAGTCATACAGGAGAATAAAGGAGTTTCACTGCTGAGTCTTAGATTCACTCTACAGTTCTTTCTCAAGCCACAACCTTTAAGAGTCTGGATCAACAATTGCTACCTACAGCCTGTGGGTCAAATCTGGTCAGATACTGGCTTCATATGCCCTGTCAGTGTCCAGTAAAGTTTTATTGAAACCCAGCCATGCCCATTTGTCTACATATAGTGAATGGTCAGCTTTTTGTTGCTGTGGTAATGTATGTGAGAAGATAAACTTAAAGGAGAAAAGATTTCTTTTGGCTTATGGTCTCAGAATTGTCACTCCATGGCCACTAGGCTCTATTGTTTCTGGGTCTGTGGTGAGACTGGACTTCATGGTGGGAAGTATGAGGTAGAGCAAAGCTGTTCAACTCAAGGCAGCCAAGAAGCAAATTAACAGAGAGAGAGAGAGAGAGAGAGAGAGAGAGAGAGAGAGAGAGAGA